CAACAACATCGGTTCGGTGTATAGCAACATGGGTGACTACTCGAAAGCACTTGAATTTTACGAAAAATCACATCAAATCCTCGAAAAAGCTCTGCCTCCCAATCATCCCGATTTGGCTATATCCTACAACAACATCGGTCTAGTGTATAACCACATGGGTGACTACTCGAAAGCACTTGAATTTTACGAAAAAGCACATAAAATCTTCGAAGAAGCTCTGCCTCCGAATCATCTCAATTTGGCTGCTTCCTACAACAACATCGGTGCAGTGTATAAGAACATGGATGACTACTCGAAAGCACTTGAGTTTTTCGAAAAAGCACATCAAATCCTCGAAAAAGCTCTGCCTCCGAATCATCCTGATTTGGCTACTTCCTACAACAACATCGGTTCGGTGTATAGCAACATGGGTGACTACTCCAAAGCACTTGAATTTTACGAAAAAGCACTTAAAATAAGAGAAAAAGCTCTGCCTCTAAATCATCCTGATTTGGCTACTTCCTACAACAACATCGGTACGGTGTATAACAACATGGGTGACTACTCGAAAGCACTTGAATTTTTCGAAAAAGCACATCAAATCCTCGAAAAAGCTCTGCCTCCGAATCATCCCTCATTGGCTACATCCTACAACAACATTGGTGGAGTGTATCATGGCATGGGTGACTACTCGAAAGCACTTGAATTTTACGAAAAAGATCTCGAAATCTGGGAAAAAGCTCTGCCTCGAAGTCATCCCGATTTTGCTACTTCCTACAGCAACATCGGTGAAGCGTATAAGAACATGGGTGACTACTCGAAAGCACTTGAATTTTACGAAAAATCACATCAAATCCTCCAAAAAGCTCTGCCTTCGAATCATCCCGATTTGGCTACTTCCTACAACGACATCGGTGGAGTGTATGACAACATGGATGACTACTCAAAAGCACTTGAATTTTACGAAAAAGCATATCAAATAAAAGAAAAAGCTCTGCCTTCGAATCATCCCGACTTGGCTAGTTCCTATAATAACATTGGTGAAATGTATTACCGCATGAGTAACTACTCGAAGGCACTTGAATTTTACGAAAAATCATATCAAATCTACGATAACGCTCTGCCTTTGAATCATGCCTTATTGGCTGCTTCCTACAACAACATCGGTGCAGTGTATAAGAACATGGGGGACCACTCGAAAGCACTTGAGTTTTACGGAAAAGCATATAAAATCTTCAAAAAAGTTCTCTCTCCGAATCATCCCTCATTGGCTACTTCCTACAACAACATCGGTGGAGTGTATGACGACATGGGTGACTACTCGAAAGCACTTGAATTTTACGAAAAATCAGTTTAAATAAAAGAAAAAGCTCTGCCTTCGAATCATACCTCATTAGCTACTTCCTACAACAACATCGGTCTCACACATAACAACATGGGTGACTACTCGAAAGCACTTGAATTTCACGAAAAATCACTTAAAATAAGAGAAAAAGCTCTGTCTCCAAATAATCCCGATTTGGCTACTTCCTACAACAACATCGGTATGGCGTATTTCGGCAAAGGAGACTACTTGAAAGCACTCTCATTCTTAGAAAAAGCACTTTCTATCTTCCAAAAATCACTTCCACCTTACCATCCTAATATTATAACGGTCACGAATTCAATTGACAATGTAAAAAAGAAAATGTAACTGTAATTTTTTCTTTTCACTTGCTGAATAAATTTATTCATATTGCTAATCGTTTCGATTTTTCTCGGCTCATTTTGGCTTACCCGCGCGCGCGCGCGACAAGGGAGAGATCCCTTGTCAATGTCATAGGTACCACAGGCGGACCACGCCGGACTGGTAGGGCAATGGTCGAAGGTATGCCGTATGAACGGTACGGACCAACGACACATAGAGGCCTTCCCTAGTACTACACTGCTTCGCTGTGGCACGAAAGTCCCTCTACTTATTGAATCTGACAACGTAGTTCTCTGACTCACACTAATAACATTCATAACTCAACCCAGCTCATCTCATCTCAAAAGTACTCATACTCATAATAACTGATAGTATTTATTTGTTTTCTCGAAATAAGTTATCTCAACTCAACTCAACATGTAAAAAAATTTTTGTGGTACCTCTCAATGTTATATGATATCATAGCTCATCTAAAATAAAAGTAATTTTAAATATAAAATGAATTAATTTACCGTATTTTTAATATAATATATCATTATCATTGTAAATAATGTCATGATAATAGTAAACCCGGGTATATAAATACATTGTAATGCATTATAATGATACAACTCTGGTGTACTGTTTCATGATGATGTATCAATGTTTTTATATACCCTGAGGTTAATTGTTCGATGTTTAAAATTTTGATTGATTTTTTATCAATCATTGAACGTACGTGATTTGATGTTCCACGTATATATTAATTGATATGTTCAACACATAACACTACATAATTGATTTGGTGATCAATTTTTATGTAGTGACATATGTGTATATTTTTTTAACTTCTTTTTCCTGTCTGACGTACATCAATATCATGTCGTCGTGGACGAAAAAAATTTTCATCTTGTATATATATAGGGTGTGGGTCGGAGAAGATAGGATCATTATTACTCATACATCAACTAACTGTTTTTTTTCTTATGTGAAATTTTCATTATAATATTATGCTTCAAAATTCATTTACAATATTGTATATGTGCAATAATTAATGATTTTCTCTTTGACTGTCATTGAAAAATAATAATTATTTTGACTTATATATTTATTATGTTATTATTATCCAGAGAACACATATTTCTCAGTTAGATGCAGTGGCGGGCCGCCACGAGGCAATTGGTGGCAATTGCCCCACCCAAAAAAATTTTAAATCCAATATTTACTCGTTTATTTATTGACTTCTGTAAGCGAATCAAAATATACACAATTAGTAAAAGTATCTGTACAGGGTTGGAAAAAAATATTTTTCAAGAGTAGTAACGCTATGATTTCAAATAGAGTAACTAATGAATTTTATACCAA